TTATATCGTCCAGTCCTCCTCTGCAGCACAAATATCTGGTATGCTCGGTAGGGAAATATGAAGGCAAGCCAAGATGGGCCAGTGCAACAGACTGAAAATACCAGAGCGTTAGAGGCCAGAGAGAAAAGAAGATGCTGAATGTTTCTGCCACCTCAAAGGCTCCTAGTCAATTGAGTACAAAGAAGAGTTCAAAGGCAAGGCAGGCTCCTGACTTCCACCTCCTAGTGTGGCTGAGGTCAGAGGTCACTGCTGGTGGAGCCACTGACCAATAAAAGAATGTTTGGAAACTCCACTCAACAGATAAACTAGGGATCCATTTACACCTTTCTCCCTATCCACACAAACATTTCTAACTATACAGTCTGATGTCCATCCAGCCTTCTAAGATCCCAGACTGCTCTTTCGTTGTAATTCAAGGGAGATCGGGGATATGAATGATTTCACTGCAGGAAAGTATTTCGTTGCATACTTCTGCCTTCCACTGTGAGAAAGATGGCTGGTAGGACTCTCCATCTGTAAGGCCTACCGCAAATGCTACCTCCCGATAAATCTGTCCCTGTGCCCTACCTTCCTCCTTCCATATCAGACGCTAATGTACCTGGGAAAATCTGCACCATCTTCTCAGCCTTCTTTGTGCTTATACCCATCTATCTCCAAGAAGACTGTGAGGCCTTGGTGAGTGAGGATCACCAATTTCTTATTATCTCCCATCATCTCCTTAAAAAAAACAACAGTTAATTAGGGCTTCACTAAATTAATTAACTAGATCATTTAGCTCATAGGACAATAAAAGGCCGACTGATAAATTAGCTTTAAACTGTTGTAATGATTATCCTATACTAATTGGAGGAACTGGCTTTAACTTACCCACAAAAAACCCTCTATGCCAGCCCTAGCTTGTCCAATGCCATGAATGCCAGCACTCTCATTGCCAGCCTTCAGGAGTAGATAACAGAGACACAGGTTGTGTGCATTTTTCTTCAAAAATCTTAGCTGAACTACGGCTCGTACTTCCGTCAGGTTTGGGCCCTATATTTAACTGTATGGCTGCTTCACTATCACATCTGAGGTCAGGAGGAAAATGCAATCACTTCTTGCCAGGCAAAATGTCCTTCTGCCTTGGTGCATGCTAATTCTCGAGTCACTATAAGGACTTGGACCACTGTGTACATCAGTCAGATTGTGGCCTTGCTGATCCTCAACTCTAAGCTGCAAAATGCTGCCGCAGTATCTCCATCGCTGAGATCCCACCCCACAGTGTTGGGGTTCATTCAGAAACTTGGGGAGAGCGAAATCCTTGCTAATCACTATTTCTTCCTCCTGTGAAAGAACAAGTCTCTTGAGAGTGGCTCTGAGGACAAAGTCAGGGTGAAGCAGCAAAGCAGCTCATGGCCTTTGGGATTTCCTGGAAACACGGAAAACAGTGGAAATGAAAATGTCTCTTAAAAGTGGATGGAGACCTCTGCTGGCTACAATTGTCCATGCAGTGCTATGAGCTGGTTCTGGGGTGCTCAGCAAAAAAATCACTGTTCCTCCGCTTCAGGTCACTCTGATGTCATCAATCAGGGGCTCTCCATTATCAACTACTAATGCGCAGGTTTTCCCCTACAAGTTCATGTCTGTCTTACAAAAGGACCCAAATTTGACTTCCCCAAAGAGAATTCATTAAGGTGTAAAAACTTTCCGCACCAGGTATATGCTGTTTTTTCAGTTACTCCTGTCAAGGTCAGATTAAACTGATGAATGATAAACGGAGGGCAAAATGTCCAGCATATTCCGGAAAGGGTCTCACAGAACAAAAGAACTCTCTCTAATCTTAGAGGGATGAAACCTTAACGATCACTAGAACAGTGGTTCTCAGTCAAAGCAATTTTGTCCCATGGGGAATATCTGGTAATGTCTACAGGCATTTTGGGTTGTCACAACTGGGAGAAGGGTGTGCTACTGGCATCGAAATATTGGGTTGTCAGAAAAGCCATGACACATTTTTTACAACGAGAAACAGAAAAAATACGTCATGACTTTCCCAACAACCCAATAGTTGAAACTAGTCATCCTTTATACCTATCTGGGAATTTCTTCAACCAGATAATCTCACCTCTAGTTGAGATCAGTCCAGTCTAGAAATCTGGGGTTGGGAGAAGAAACGTCATTTTTGGAACACAGAATACTCAGAGAAAGGGGAGTAAGACTAAATGGGGCACTGCAGCGGAGTGCTTTAGAAGGTTTGAAAGTAGCACAGAGAAAAGAGGCACCAGAAAGCAGAAGAGAGATTCAGAAAGGGAAGCAGCAAAGTGCCAAGACGGACTTTCTTTTGCAAGTTGACATAATGTGGGGTATTCACCACCAGAGGAGGTGACTGGCCCTCATGACTAGAGGTGTTCAGGAGAAGAGGAGATGACCATTTAATTATTAATGTTGTCAAGGAGAGTAATATTCTTGCTAAGGACAAGAGTTTCAAAGAGTTTTCAAACAGCAGGATGAAAAATGAGAGATGATCTAGCCAACCTCTTCATTTCATAAATGAGGAAATGAAAACCCGGGGAGCTCTGGAGCTCTGGCAACTTGTCACAGTCATACGATTAACAGGGATGGAGCCAGGGCTCAAACCCAAGTCTTTTGACTCCAAGTGTGTTGCTTTGAACCCAAATAACCTAAAAGTACACTGTTTTAAATGGCCTTTATTCATTCCTTCTCAACGGCTCTATGATTCTGAGCCTGCCACTGAAAATGACCAGCCGAGCTTGTCTCGGACCTGTGGCTCCCAAGCCATGCTCCTGTAAGCTAGCCAAAGGTGCTCTGCTCCAAAAACCAAATGATTCTCTCATCCAACATGAAGGTGGTGGGGTTTTGGGCCTTTGTTTTTTTTTAAGGCTAGAGTCTAGTACAAAGTGGTATCTGATTTAGCAGACAATTCTCTATTTAGTTATGTTAATAAATCAAGATGCCATAAAAGGAAACACAAAGCTCACAAACACCAGGACTCTTCCAGGAGCATTTTCTTCTGCACAAGTTGTAAGAACCCTGGTTATAGATCAAGACTCTGGAGAGCTCTAGACTGATTTCCTCATTCACTAAAACTCACACGAGGTCAGCAGTTAAGTAACAACTGGGAGGCCCAGAAATTAAAACAAACATGAGTGTGCTATGAAAAAAACTACAGGGAAACTAAAATCAACCTGTGATTTGTTTTCAAATCAGGATGCCAAAATGTTTTCCAGATGAGGTTACTGAGGTCCAGAGAGGGCAAGTCTTTGGCCAAGGGCACAGAGTTAGTAACTGGCTGAGCTGGCATTCAAACAGGCAGCCTGAGGGAAGAGCCAACAGACTTCATTGTTGTGCGCTGCGACCATCTCTTTGATTTAAGTAGCTCAATACCATGGGGTGACTGGTTAGCTCAGTTGGTTAGAGCATGGTGCTGGTAACACCAAGGTCGCCAGTTCGATCCCTGCGTGGGCCACTGTGAGCTGCGCCCTTCCTAAAAGAGTCAACTATGCCACTGTAGCATGAAAGCAATGTGTAACCAATGACCATGGCTGCTGCCCAATAAAATTTTAAAAAGAAGCTCAGAACCATAATAAACTGGGTGGACTGAACACATTCACTAACTTACACTCCCTCCTAAAACCCTAAACTGGAAATTAAAGGGAATTTTTAAAAATTAAGACATGATAGCTCTAAGATAAAGAGAATGGGAGACAAGATAACAGCAACAAAATGTGGAACCTCAATAGCAGAAGACGAAGTGGAGGCTGACTCTTCAGGCCCACGAGAGCTGTGTCCTAAATCAGCTAAGAAAAACCTGAGTTCCACTGCACAACCCCAAGTGGGGGAAAGGCGGGGCTAAAGGCAAGAGGACGGCCCGAAATGCATTTAAGCAGCAGTCCGAAGCCCAGATCCCCTCCCCATTCCACACAGCCAGGTGACTACCCTGCCCTCAACCGGACAGAGGCCTGAGATGTGTTCCCTGGACAAGGATAAATACAGGCTTTCCGCCTGACGGGAGGGCGAGGGTGCCAAACTGAACATGGGGGTGTGTGGGACAGTTACAGACTCAATGCTGAGAACTCTCCAAACCTTTTCTCCTGCTTATCTCCCACACAGACAACTTCGATAAAAATTAAAACTTTTATGTTTTAATTTTTAATTAGTTTCAGGCATACAGAACAACGTAGTGATCAGACAGTTACATAACTCACAAAGCGATAACCCCAACAAGTCTACTACTACCCACCCGACACTGTACAGTTATTAGAACGTTATTGACTATATTCCCTATGCTGCACTACACATCCCGGTGAATATTTTTTAAATTATAGTTAACATTCAATGTTAAAATAAAAACTTTTAAAATCCATTAAAAAACAAGCCCAGTACCAGTATCAGGATAGTCTTTTGAATTTTTAAACACTTGCTTGACATTTAAGCCCAACTAAATTTCTTTCAGGGAAAGGAAAGGGAAACAGGACTGAACGGGACACTCGGTACAGTGCGTCGGTAGAGAGCAGCCCAGGGAAAGGAGCGTGAGAAGGTGGAAGGGAAAACTGGGCCAGGAGGCCGGGGTGTGGAAATGTTCCAGCGGGGAGGAGGCCATCTGACCTGGGAATCTAGGCCGGCTCATACAACAACATTCTCAAGGTCAACAGCTACTCAGCAGCGTCACCCTGAAATGTCCCAGCTTCCATGGCTGGCTTAGTCACTAGAATGACCACCTGCTGTGAAAGCCATTATCCAAAGAGGCTGAGCTTTGCATCCTCAGCACACTACTATGCTATGACCTTAAAACCCCAGAAGTGTTTTTAAATCTCTGATCGGTATTATAAACCTTATTTGACCAACTCACCTAACACTGTTTTCCTCTTCTCGGCTTGGTTGGTTGATAGTGGACAAAATGAACCCCACTCACGCATTCAGCGGCTGTCGCTCTGTGTCTAAGCAGTCAAGGCCACCCTTTCCCGTCACCCAGGTCACCTCCCCTACAGGGCTGCTTGGCCTCTCACCTGTCTCCGCATTTCTTCAATCTGTCTTTGGGGGATGCTCTGCAATATACTGTACACGTCTGGCATCTTTTCTTCTGGCACAGCCACAGACGCTCTAGAGACAACAGCAAAACGATTTATGTAAGTACAGCCCTTTTCGCAAAGCACTTCTACACACATTGTTGTTTAATTCTCACAAGCAGGAACAACAATACCCCAAACCTCCTTGGGTCACATGCTCCTTCTCGTGACCAGTCCCTCTTCCTTCTCCCTTCCTCAGGGCCGACCTTCTCAAAGGAGCTCTCTCACCGGCTCCATTTTCTCACCTCCACTCTGTGCTGCGTTCATCTTTCGCCCTCCCTTCACCCCGAACACACCCCTTCAGGCACGTGAACACACCAGGCTCTGCCCAGCACAGGGCCTCTCTGTGTCAAGTCCCACCGACCTGGTACATTCTTCACTCTCCACTGCCCGCTCTGAATGAATAATGACTTTTCTCCTGCAGCTGTACTGTATACCCACATCCATTCATTTACTCAGCATATACTATTTACGGAGCCCTTTTAAGAACTAGGTCCTGGTAACACGACAGTGAGCAAAACAGACAAGGAAGGCCTGGGAGGGAGAGCGCCACGAGAAAGCCGAGATTAAAGGGAATGCCAGGCAGAAGGACTAACCAGGAAAAGGTCCTGAGGAAGTAGCGTGTCAGGAAGGTTCCAGCTACAGTAAAGAGGCTAGTGTGGAGGGCGAACAGTGAAGAAGATGGGGAAGACCAGGAGAAGAAGAGAAACAGGGAATGGGGGGCCACAGCAAAGCATATAGAGCCTTGCAGGCCACTGTAAGGACTGGGGCTCTTACGGAGATAGAAAGCCATTGGAAGGTTTTAGGCAAAGCATGGTGTGATCTGATTATGTTCCAACACAATCACTCTGCCTAAAGTGTTAGAACAAACTGCAGACGGCAAGACCAGGGGCAGGGAGAACAGCTGGAGGCCATCGCAAAAGCCAGGCAAGAGATGCTTATGAGGGAGGAACCAATGCAAGTGATGAGAGAAGAGAGCCGGCGGATCTGCTAACAGATTAGACATGGCGGGTAAGGGAAAGAGAGGGCTCGACAATGACTTCCCCTTTACGGCATTTAGCAGAGTTCAGTGATTATATTTGTATAAACTAATTTACTAAAATCTGAAACCCCCTCTCCACACTAGACTAGTCCATTGGGATGGAAACCACGCTGGGTTCCACTCACCAGCATATCCTGAGCACCTGGTACATTGCTTAGCACACACAGTTAGCACTTAATAAATATTTGCTAAATAAATAAATGATTTCGACTATACAGATGGGAATTCGACTCTACAGGCCTTCCAGATCCAAATCCAGCCTTTCGACCGCCTATCCATAACTGCAACTACCCAGGCAGATCCAGCTTCTCATAGGAGTGTCTTGTCAAGGCTCAGCTGAGGGTCACTGCCACTGTGAAGCCCGCACCACTGCCACGATGGTGTGTGTCTCCTTCTCACTCTTCTTCGGGCAACCCCCCCAGCCAGTGCTGGGTCTCACCCCAGTATTTGGTAATCGCTGGTATACTGGTCTATCTTCCACCACTAGATTAGGAGCTTCTTTGAGGCAAGGTTTGACCTTGATCATCTGTGTATCCCCGATACCTAACACAGTACCTGGCAAGTAAAGGGCACTCGATAAATGCTGTCATGGATATATAAATGACTGGAAGTGGCTCATCACTTCTCTAAGCTATAAGAAAGAATTACATACCCTCCTCTTTCAGGCTGAATTATCCTCCCTCCTCTGTTCCGGGCTTCTGTTGCCCCCTGTGCATGCGTCAGTTATAGCACTTATCACACAATATTATAACTGTTGGTTTGTCTTCCTCATTAGATTCTAGCCTCCTTAAGAGCACAGACTGTATTATTCATGGTAGGCCTTCCAATAAAAATGGCATGAATGAATGCATCTATGAATGAACTGTTCAAATATCTGTGGTGATCAGACTTGGATAGAAATATCAAAAAAGTTGGGAGAGGAGAAAGCCATTAAACATTTAAGATCAAATCAAGACTGAGAAGTATATACAAAAGGAACTAATTTTCAATAATCTTTAGCTTCCCAAGTCCTAGGGAAATGAAAGGACATGAGACTTGCAGGCTATTCTTTCAATTACAACATTGCCAGCCATAACCAAGCAGAGCTTACGTTTGGCCACCTGCACACTGGGGATGTTTCTAAGGTTCCGCCCAAGTGGGGACACTCCACCTCCAGCTAGTCATGTTATGCAAATCCAGTAAAGACTCAGAGCAATGGTTCTCAACTGTAGCTACAAATCATGCCTGGGGAGCTTTAAAATCCAGCATTCCTGAGGATTTTTTTAAGTTCTCCAGGTGAGTATATCCGCAGTCTCTAGGAACCACTGCTCTTGGCCAAGGGTTGGTAAATATTTTCTGTCAAGGCCCAAGTAGTAAATATTTTAGGCTTTGTGGGCCACATAATCTCTGTCGCAACTACGCAACTCTGCCACTGTAGCACAAAAATAGCCATAGACGACATGTAAATTAAAGGATTTGGCTGTGCTTCCATAAAACTTTCCTTACAAAAACCGGCAATCTGCCATATTTAGCCCACAGGCCTCAGTGTGCCAACCTCTGCTCTAGGCCAATGGATACACAAAACAGTCTAAGGGAGTAGTTCTCAAACTTAGGTATGCATTACCATCACTTGGGGAGGAGAGGGACTTTTAAAATCTAATACATGCAGAACCACTAGTGTAAAATTTATTAGAAGGTAACACCAACCTCTTCCAGTCAAGAACTTCAGAGAAAGGCAAAATATAGGAGTCTGCAACGACAACCGGGACACAGCCAGCCCGTAACACGTCACTCAGTGCCGCTTGGCCCAGCCGAGCTCCACGAACGACCACACAGAAAGTAGCCTCCTGCAGGAACACAAGCAGAAGAAGTAGGGGTTACAAACAAGTTTCACTGATCCACTGACTCTGACCCCCGCAGATCATGAAGTTCTCCCAGGGGCTGAAGCCAAGCAACAGTGAGGCATCCTGACACAAAAATGCTAAAAGATAACAGCTCGTACCAGTAAAACTTGAAAAGCTTAACTGGTTGCAATGTTTTACATTTCCACTCTTCAGTGGAACTTCACTGCCTCAACTGCTGGCATTCTGAAAATGTTCAAAACCCACATCCAAGACTTCCACTGGACACCCAGCAATATGACTTCCCACAGACTGTCCTTTCAGCCCTAGTGTGCTCTGTAAATACACCACGGAACACTGGCTGACCGTCGTACTTACTGCAGAATTATTTTGCCTGGGCATTATCGGGTTCTCTAGAGGACCCCCTAAAGGGAAAGCATCAAATCTCGTTCATCTTTCTACTCCCCATGGCCTCTAGCAGTGTGCTCTGAGTCCAGAAGATATTCATTTCATAAATTCAATGCCTCTGAAAACACATTAAGGCAGATATATTCAATTTAGAAAGAATAAATCGAACAAAAAGCAAAATCTGAAAAGATTTCTTCCCCATTCGCTCCCTCAATGTGGGGAATGCTTGGGAAAATAAAGAGATATATAGAAGAAAAAAACAGTTGCCACAGGTAAACCAAAAAAGAAAAGACCCTATATCTCAAACACTCAGTTTCTCCCAGTTTGCCTCTTTAGGAGAATAAAGACTAAAGAAAAACAACAACAATAACAACAACAAAAAAGACACCATTTAATCTTTAAAGCTAGAGAAAAGGAGAGTTTAGAAAAAAATGTAATGAAACTCAATATGCCCAGCTCCTCCGGGGATAAATGAGAAAAGCAGCACAAGTCAAAGAAGACACTCGCTCATGGTGCCCGGAGGTGCAGGTGGACAGCCCAGCCTGCCCTGAGCAGTCGGCATCCAGATGTGGACACTCGTGCTGATAACCGTTCTTCCTGTCTAGACAAAGGTTACTATAAATACTCCTGTTCACATCACCACCGTTATCAGTCAGACATTCCAGAAGGAGATGCAGGACTTTTTGAGAGAAAATATTTTAACAATCTCAGCATGCGCCAGTTCTCCTTGGAGATTAAAAAAAAAAAAAATCACACTAGCTCCTTGATATTTCTCCTTGAACTAACCTGTGTGTATTTTAAATATTTAAGTGAACAAAACTCATGTCTCCTTTCCTAGCCCCCATGCCCTTGGAATGTCAAATATCCTGCTTATAATAAACATCCCCAAAAGGACTGCTTTGCCTGTGGTTATGGAAGTATTGCCATTGCCATGCTTTAAGTGCTGCCAGTAGGACAGGCGAAGGGTGGCAAAACACCAAAAGACAAAACAACAACAAAAGTAAAAACCTTCCACTCGCAGGAAAACCTGACTGGGGCCTTGTGGGCCAGCACGGAGGAGGATACACGCTGCCACCTTAAAGAAGAAAATTTCTTTGGACTGGCTTATGAGCACAGGGCTAAAAGCAAAATCCATTGGCCTGTTTTGTCTATGTGGCGTCTTTGTAAATTTATCAAATTTGCCTTTTTGAAGTCTAACGAGTATTTGAAAGGAGTATGAACACTCACAGGCCAAGCAGCTTTGCACAAACAGCACGCCAGACACCGAAACACCTGAGGGTCTGCATATCCAGGAAAGAGCAAGACGACAGTTTCTCCTCCCCGTGGGGAATTCTCCCACTTGCAGGTGGAGGAAACTCCTGTTTGTCCGGGTCAGTTTTACCTCGTGGAAGTGACCTCTACTGAGCCTTTGGGGAGGTAATAAATGACACTCACTTGCAGCACCTGGGGGTAATCGAAGACCTGGTGCTTGTGACAGCGTTTCCGGATGGAAAGGACGCCCTCGGAGAGGTTGGTGCATTTATCGAGTACTAACACTGACTCCCCGTGTTTGGCCTGGAGGGCTTCCAGTTCCTCTCGGTACTCGGGATGGAGAGCCATCTGCGATGACAGCAGGAAGTATCGCCGAGGACTACAGGGAGAAAAGAAAGTGACTAGACAGCTGCAGATGGTACGCTAGTCAAGGTAAGACAAACTTTGATATTAAATGTATGGCTGTTCAGTGTTCTCTCTCCAGTCTTCACATGCCTTGCTTTCTTGGGGAATTATACCTGTAGCACTGCTGAATGTTTAAAATAGTATATACTGTAAGAAGGTAAGGTATGACTCCTTTACATGGTGAAGTATGATGCAATTGTTAAAAATTTTATTTGGGAAAAATTCTGAATGTTTTGAGGAAATCCTTGTAATATGCCAAGCTTAGAGAACATGCTATAAATACGTGTGTGATCAAAAAATATGGTGAGTGTCTTTACTTTATCCTCCATCATGACAAAGCTCCGTGTCACACATCGCTTCTGGTATACAGCAATTTCTGTCAAATAAAAACATTACGGTATGTCCTCATCCACCTTATTCACCGGATCTGGCATGTTTGATTTCTACCTCTTCCCCAAAGTCAAAATGGTTCAGGACATCGAGGCAGCCACAACAGCGCAACTATACACACTCACAAAAGAGGACTTCAGAGTCGCTTGAGAAAGTGGCAAGAATGATGGGACAAGTGTGTTGAAGCGAGGGGGAGTATTTTGAGGGGGATTAATGGCAATGTGTATTTTACTGTAATAATTTTTTTTTAAATTTGAACATTCACCATATTTTTTTATTACGTGTGTGTGTGTGTGTGTGTGTGTGTGTGTGTGTGTGTGTATAAAAGAAACTGGTTGATAGGTTGACTGATTGGGAAAAACATCATGTTACCATTAGTTAGATCTGAGTTCGCTCATCTGAAAAGGAACTGAGAGCTGACCGCTTCCTTCAAATAAGAGGAAAATTTAATGGGCAGCACTGGTTATAAAACTAGAGAGATGAAAGACGGCTTCTGGCTGTTGAGTAGTATCCTTCACGCCACAAAGAGCCTCCAGGAAAAGAGAGCCCTCATTGTCAAGACCACCTGGACATTAGGAAGACTGAACTGGTAATTGAGAGCAAGTTGGAAAAACTATCTTCACCAAAAGATGGAACTAGTCTTAACATCTGGATAGCAAGGATGCTTAAAAGAAAATGGAGTGAAGAAAGGATTCCCAAGGGTCTAGTGCCATTTAGAGCTCCAAAAGAGACAAAACAAAAAACAAAAAAAAAGTGAACACAAAGCTAGTAAGCAAGAAGTCAAGGGGGAGATTTGGGGGAGATCAGATGGTAAATAATTCCCTCCTGGAAGGCAAGATTCCCAGAAGACAGAGAGGTTACAGAACATAAACCCTATATAGGTTGAGAGACCATTAGGGACCACTGTCAAAAAAAAAAATAATATAAAGCAGGTTCTAGGAAGAAACGAAACACCCATCACAGCTAGAAGCGGGATTTAATTAAATCTACCTCTAACTGGTACAGACCAGGGGAAATACCAGGGCTACGCATCTCACAGGCAATGTCTCCAGGCAAGCTGATATAAGTCTGTACCTAAGAAAGGACCAAAACCCTATACTCTGTAAACCCACCCTCTCTCTCTCTCTCTCTCTCTTTCTTTCTCTCCCTCCCTCCCTCTTTCCTTTTTTTTTTTTTCCTATGCTTTGGAGAGAAAGGAAGGGTAATTGTTTTATTTTTCTTTAGTTTCTTAGACTTATTTAGAGGTTCACACGTCCACTGCCAAGGAAGAATCAATCATTCTCTAACTGAGGTTGTCATCTTTTACTGAGCACTAAGCTTCAGGTCCAAAACACACAGGGCAATGAGTGGAGAAGGTGAGCACTGGCCTAGCCAGCCAGGTCAGCTAAATAAACTCCAGAAAACAGAGCAACACATATCACTGCCAGGTTGCTTTTAAATCCTCAGAACCACTTCTTTTGGTAATTCCTTTGCACAGCTGAACTGAAAAAAAAAAA